ACATGCGGGACACTCTTGTGGGACACTCTTGTGGGACACTCATACGGGACACTCTTGTGGGACACTCTTGTGCTTCCTCCAAAAGTCACATGTCAAGTCTCCAAAACGAGCGTTTCGTACGAGACTTCCTCCAAAAGTCACGCTGCGAGGCTGCAAGACGAGCGTTTCGTACGAGACTTCCTCCAAAAGTCACGCGTCAAGTCTCAAAAACGAGCGTTTCGCACGAGACTTCCTCCAAAAGTCCAGCGGAAACACCCATCGGAGCACACACATCACGCAGCCCTGCCAAGCAATTTCGCGATTCCAGCCCCTCCAAACGACACCCGCCCACACGCCAATCCCAATGTGACAGCGACATTCACCTCTACCACAACTCACAACCTCCCGATTCCCTGCGCCTGCCACGAATCTTTCCGCGTCCACACGTCTAACGCGCACAAAGTACTGCGCCTGCCACGAAATGTCACCTCCGTCACACATCGCAACCTCACGATTCCCTGCGCCTGCCACGAAAATCCCACTTCCACACCTCAAAACCTGCACAAAGTCCTGCGCCTGCCACGAAAAGTAACAATGTCATCTCATGTGGCCTTCAACAAAATTTGCACCACACCACACGTTTGGAATGATTTCGACCCGTTCTGAGCACACTCCCAGGGTCCAAAATCGGCATTTCAGCTGAGACTTGTCACGAAAACAGAGCTTCGATGCCACACCCTGAAACGCAAATCCCAATGGCACGGCCACATCCAACACCCCAAAAACACAACTCTCCAAACGCTAATCCCAATGGAGCTGCGTAGCAAACTGCGGATCTCACAAAACGCTGCGCCTGTGCAGTGAAATGCATCACGCTTCTTGCGCGACATGTCATTTTCATGCAAATCACAATGGAATAGCGGCGCAAACTGACACGTGACACATCCATGAAAAGTCACTTGCAAAAGCTTCCCCCAATGGCAGCGCCTTAGCGACCTACTGCGGACGGTTGCGGACGGCTGCGAACGGTTGCGAACGGTTGCGGACGGTTGCGGACGGTTGCGAACATAGAAGCAACGGGTCGCGAACAAGACTCTACCCCCAGACCCCCAGAGTTAAAAGAGAACCCTTCGCTACGCATTCGGGAATTAAACATATTTCACTACAACTATCCCTGCCAAAAAAAAGAAAGACATTATTCTGGGGGCCTTTATTAATCAGTGCAGGAAAAAAAAGACATTACTCTAGGGGCGTTTATTAATCAGAGGACCACATTAAGAAGTTGCACCCCTGCGCGAGAGATGCGTGGTGCCTGGAGAATCATTGGCTTTTCCTCGCCAATCGTTCCTATAGTATCATCTTGAGAAGGCCTCTGTAGCTCAAGTGTTGGATGGGTTATAGAACATACCCAAATCTTCCAAAAGTTCTGCCTCTTGGATTCGTACATAGATGAAAAGGTAGGCGTTGTTTGTTCATACTTGGAAGATCCACAGCTGACAAGGTAGTCTTCAACTTCGACCCAAGATTCTCAACGATTCGCCCCAGAGCAACTGGCAGTCTTCTACGTGATCAATCTTCACACAAAAACCCTCCCGTATACCACCCGAATGGCCTCCCCTCCAAAGCAGCATGAATTTGCATATGTTCAGGTTGCACTAGGTGTAAACTTGCCAACTACATCCAACTACATCCATTTGATGAATGCTTCTAAAGAACTCCTCGGATTACATCATATAATCCTCGTGCCAGCAGTGCCAAAGTAGATGATTGAACAACTTGAATACAGTATTGGGTCATACATGTCTTACACCTCTGCGCCCTGAATGCCTGCGTTCCTCAAATGCCTTCGGTCCTTCGGTCCGTCGAGCTCCCGAGGGGCGTCGAAGTGTCGAAGTGGTGGCGCTCTGAGACACAGACAGATCGGTGTGAGACAAGTTAAAGGTTGGCGAGGTCATGTCGACAGGTGTACTACATCAGATCTTGAACTTTCGACATGAGAGGTTGTGATTGTGGGGCTTGCTCACAGCTGCATATCGGAAGCCTGCAAAGGCCTAAAATGATGTCAATTTGCTTTAATTAAACGGATCTGTACCAGCTGCTTCCATGGGGTTACCAATGACAACCCTACACTGCTTGTAGATCACCATTGGACACCCAGACAGGAAGCGCGCTTGGTACTTCTACATCTGCTTCAGAGGATGGAAGAGCTGAAGAACCCGAAGCTGGGGAGGTGAAACACTCGTGCCATCCCATGTGAAGCCAAGCACTCGTGCCATCCCCGACCAGCAAGCCGCGATCCGAGCAGCAAGCCGCCAAAGAGGAGCAAAAGCCCGGCGATGAGCCAACCTCAGGTCGATGGATGCGAGAAAGAGCGAGGCGAGCGAAGAGCGAGCTGAAACCGATTAAGAGAACCCCCGAACGAGATCAGTCTTTGAGAGTTCAACCCAGTAGAGTAGCTGGTTCTTGCTTCAGTTAAAGTGACTGAACTTGTTTTTTTGTTGGGGGTGACTGACAGGTCACAGGCTTTGACAGGTCAGTGGGATTCCAAAGTTCCGGTCACAGACTCGTGTCATGTTGGAACATGGCAAGGTGTTCTGGGAACATGGCGGTCCAGGTGCTCGGGTTCACAGCCTGGGGCAGGAAAGCAGGCCCGGCTGCACCGGAACCGGTGTGGAAAGACTTGAAGAGACTTCAGTGCACCTTTCCGCCTGGCAGCTGTCCACTGGTCTCTGCCCCTCGTGGCCCTCGTCAGTCGAACAGCCGTCGACCCGAGTCCCTGCACCCCGTCGACCGAATTTCGATGAGGACATGCCTCGTGTGCCAGATCATTTCACCAGTTCACCAAAAGAATCTCAGACCATGACAACCATGAATTCCAATCATCTCAATCGTCAATTTTTCAGTGATGTTAATATGTGGTCCATCTCTATCAACTCCATGGATTCTTTTCCCGCCCGCGCTGAGAGCGCATCTCGCCCACACCCCCTTTTCTGCGAGCTCCGAGGTGCAAATGGGCCCGGCGAAGCTCGCCAAAAAGTCGAAGGGAGACCCGCTGGAGCCCACCTGGGACATCACCACATCCACCTGCACGCGAAGCAAGGTCTTCGACCACTCATGCGATTTCACAAGAGTAGAGGGCCGTGACTTCGTAAATGGTTCATGCAGCCTGAATGGCCTTACAACACCACATCGACTCGCTCGCCATGGTTACTCATGGTCACTGTTTGTTCCGTCCCAACCTCGTCCAGTCAGACGAAGAAGCTGGATTAGGGGACTGGATTGCGCTTCTATGTGTTCTTCTTTATGATTTAGTTCCTTCACAATACTTAATAGACACACCATCTTGTATGAGGAGGGCCAGTTTGCTCGGACGTGGTTCGTTCCGCACGGACCGGATCGACGTGGCCCACCCCATCCTTGCAGGAACGGACGAGCGGACCGGGTGTGGAACGTTGCACGCCCTCCGACAGGCTGTTTGGAGACCCTAACAGGTGGTTTCTGGGCACCTGTCACCAGGAAGCACCTGTTGGAGGGTCCAGGTATGGGTCTTTGTTGTTTGATGGACCGGCGAGGGTTCCCTCGTGGCGCGTTTGTTCGTTCCCTCAACTCCTTTGATCCCAAACAACCCCCCCAAACGAGCGCAAGGACCAAGGAACCCGGAGCCGGCTGAACAACCGAACCTGCTGTGTCAACCATGCGTCAGTCCGGCTCACTATGTGAAGCACCAAACTGAGAATCAGGGAAGAAATCACACCTTTTAAACCAAGGGCAGTTGACTTGGATGCAAGATTGACCAAACACAGCTGAAGTCATAGCTCTTTTGGACGCGAAGACATCTTGACAAGCTGCGTGCGTCCGTTTCTTTGATGACAACTGCTTGGGAAGTCACGACCACATCAAAGTACATTCAATGTGACATGCTCCGAACATGTCCTGTTGACCCTTGCGACAGTGTCATGGATCATTTCCATCCTGCTCCATCCTGCTCCATCTGAAGTACCTGAAATGATCTTCCAGATCCCGGACAAAGAGCTGGCACGTACTGAGAAGGGGTGAAGACGCCTTGTCATAGTAAGGAATCCTAGCCGAACTCCAAGCAGGTCGGTGCTTTGTGAGGATGCTTGCTCCTTCCTCGGCAACAAATCACATCACCCTGGGCACTTTCCAAATGGCCTCTGCCTGCGACCAAAAAAGGTCAGGTTTGGTGGCCCTTTGGTAAATCATTTCATGAGAAACCTGACGACCGCGGGTAAGTATTCTCGCATACGCTGGCGCCCTCGCTGTTTGCAACACATCATTCACACTGGACAAGATCTTGAGTACAGCACCAAGTGAGTTAATTACTTCGAAGCATCTGATCGTTCGCCTGTCAGAGCAAAAAATACGACGCATCATGGTGACATGGGGTTCTCCCACTGAGCCAACGCCTTAATGAATCTCCAACATGCCATAGTTTAATGTGTACATTATATATATATATATACATACATGTATACAATAAATGAATGTAGAAACAAAGATCCAGACCAGAAATGTGTCAGCCCTTCAAAACTTCAACACATCTCTGATCCAACCGACCGGAGCAAGCGACGGAGAAATTCGAGGCCAGGCGTCCAGCTTGCAGCTTCGGAAGCAACTGTGGGTTTGCCTGTACCAACGTTCTTTGCTCCTAGTAGCGTCCTTGTTCCTAGCAGTACGGCCAGGAGCCCCTAGTAGCCACTGAAAAACTAATCGGGAAAACAAATCCTGCAGTTCACCGGTCATGTTCAAATGAAGCCCAACGTCTTGTTTCACCATAAGAGGTTTAGGGGCTCCTTTCATCAGAACCTTGCATCATATATCAGTGGCAGTAGAAAGTGGCCCATCATGTTCTGGTCGTGCATGAGATAGAGCCGTTGAGGGGGATGTAACAAAACAATATCGAGTCAACGATTTGAAAAAACACCTTGCCAAAACAAATCGAGAGTCTTGCACTGGTGGTCAACCATGGTCAACCCACCTCACCTCACCTCACCAGACCTCCCCGCGTTGGGCGGAACGTTGGGATTTTATCGTTTTTTCCCTCTGCCAATTGGCGTCAAAAGCCCCGGTCGTTGTATTATAATTCAATATACATCCAACTGGGTCGTCGTCAGGTTGCTTCAACATCTTCTCAGCGAGAATCTGATGTAAACAACATGCTGTGTGACTAAATACAAAGGAACAAATAGGTCCCCTACTTTCAAGTGGAAAGCAACCAAACGTCGCCGCTGCATGCACCCTTTTCCGAAGGCAGGGGACACTGGTGCTCTGTTCTTGATCACCCAACTTCAAGTAGGGATATCTTGTGTTTCTCCGAGGCCAAGGCAGGGAGACCTTCACAACTTCAAAAACCAATCATCGGATTTGGGCGTCTGGATGTGACGGATTATTGTTCTTTAACCTGGCTGCAGTGATTCTTTTGGTCAATTGCATTGTTTCAACTATCATTTTTCTGGCGACAGTCTTCAAGCACGTCGCGCACTTCAAAGATGAGGAATGAGAGATCTGTGAAGAATTTACTGCCAAACACGCTACACCGTTGGGCTGACGGCAACCAGGCCAAACACTTCTCTGTCTCTGCCCTTGCAGAGGCGTGTCAGGTATGCCTGCATTACCCGACGCACTTGTTGAGCCCCAAACAGAACCACTTAAAACATTGGCGCTTGGCTCTGAGCTTTGCTCATGACACCGAGAGCCTCCTTGACTAAGTTACACAACTAATGCACCCACAAAGCTTTGAAGTGGTGTTCCCCAGCGAAATTGGCCACATGGAATGAAGGTGACGCTTAGCTAAAACTGGCCACACCAACTGGGGTTGGACAATTGCGAAGGAAATGAGATCGATATCATAAGCGCCGCACGAAAGTGGCCACACGAAGGCCAAGGTGAACGCTTAAGGCTGGTCCTAGCTGCGAAGGAAATGAGCTATCACTAAGCGCTCCTACCTGTCAGTGGTCCTACCTGAATGTCGTGTACCTCTTGTTCTCCATCATGTTCATGTTGGTCGGAAATGAACTTCGTTAGCCGATTCGTTCGCCCAATGTCGGACGAGACCACGATCTTACTTGCAACTCAAAGGATCTGTGGAATTTCAAAACGTTTGGTTTGTCATTTCGTCTGTCAGTCAACTGTCAGGGATGGAAAGGATCTGAAAGGATCAAGGGTAAATCTGTTTGGTTTTGAAACCCTCCGCTCAGCTGCCACGCACCGCGTCAACCGTCCGCACCACTCGCTCCGAACAGCTGCACGAAGCGCGCGGCGAAACGAGTGAGGTGCTCGGCTTCAAGGACAAGTCGTTCTCCCGGACGTGAGCGTCGCGAGAGAACACGGTGTGGATCCCAACGTTTTGGAAGGTCCGACCGGTGTTTTTCCCGGCATCTGTTGGACCCAACGAGCCAAACTCGACCAGAAAGCCCACTAGGATGACTCGGCTGAAATCAGGCCACCCAAATTGACCGTTGGCAGTCGTCCAAAATACCTTTGCCCGAAAACTCTCTTTGCGCCGGCCTTGGGAGAATCTTGCGCGAACACAGTAAGACTAAAGTGTCTATTCTGTTCAGATTGAGGGTGTTTCAACCATGGTCAAACTAGGCTTCCACCGTAGTCTCATCGGTGGAATGGTTTCTCGACCAACGTTGCCACAACGAGGTCAGGCTTGCCTGGCCAGCCCTATCCACTAAGTGCGCGCCTTCTGTTGGTGCCTAATCTGGACTGCTCCCTTGCTTCTGCCACCTTGCCTACCGATCTTCCATTCATGAAACGCCATAATCTCTACCAATGTGTGAAAATATGTGTACGAAATACGACCAATCTTGACAAAATGTGCCTCGACCAGTGAATTCGTAATTCACGTGACTTGAGATACAAGCTGATGATAATAATTCGCGGTGGGTTTAACCTGGGGATAGACCGGTTGACCTTGCGTTTCCGTGCTGCATGTGTTGCTACATAGTCTTGAACTCCCAACCTCCGGTACCCAATGGGGAAGGACTGTGAGGTGCGTCATGGAGCGGAGCGCAAGTGGTGTGTGTCTGAGCTTTGGTTTGCCTGGTTTCGTGGGTGTGTAACCGCTATCACGAGCGGAGAGTTTAAAAGCAACACGGCCGAAACAGCTGGCTCAAAGAAGTCGACATGGCCAGTCCCGTTCTACGCGCTTGCGCAGGGCTTGCGCAGAGCTTGCGCGAACCTTGCGCAAATGTTTGATCCTGAATTGACCACATTCTGATTGGCCACATTCTGAAGGAGTTACCTTAAGACGTGCATTGTGGAGACAAGAAGCATTCTGAAGGTTACTTAAAGTCTTAAACCGGTTAAGACCTCACAAGTTTCAGTTTCACTCCACAAAGCACAAGCTAAGAACAGCAGTTTTCGTAGAAATTCGGGTAACTAGTAAGTAGCCCTTGCGCAAAACATTGCGCCGGCCTTGCGTGAACCTTGCGCGATGCGGGTTTTAGACTACCCTCAGTTGTAGTTTGTTCCCGTTGTACCCAAATTTGACGCAACGGATGGAGGTACTATGAGGTACTTTAACATTCAGCAAACCTGCTCACTCCATGTTGAACAAAGCCCGAACGTTTGCAGTGCCGAAGATTGGCAGGTCTGCTCAATTTTATTGGTTTTTCACTAAGAGGCAGCCATGCTGCACGAACCTTGCATGCGGTTGTCGTTAACCCAACAAAAGGTCGACGAGTTCTGACAGCGATGTATGTCTTAAGCCATGCTACGTCCACTCTTCGTGTCACGAACCTTCAAACCCACGACTGGTGGGTTAGCAGAGCTCTCGCCTGGTGCCAGTCTTGCAGGAATGGAACACGCACACACGTGCCTCCAATGAAGCGAAATAGGGCAAGCATTGACGCCAACAAATGCCAAGTCATATGGGTTGTCAGTGAATGTTCAAGGCACGATCACATTTCTGTGCATGCTTGTGCTCTTCATGAATGCCTGCACGCAAAGGAGACCACCACAGAGGTCTGAAAGCTAATCTGTTCAAGACCCAACGCACGTTGCCTGGCCGAATCTGCCAGCCCTAGCCGCTTGAATCGAAAGTGATGCACAAGGTT